ACCTGGGTTGGGAAAAGAAGCTGAAGGAGTTCAAAAGGAACAGGGTCGATCGTGTACCCTATGTCCATCCTATGATTGGAGATACAACTAGGATAGACATCAAGAATTGAATGAGGAAAAAGCAGTTTTAATTTTACTAGACTTTTGGTAAAATAGTGATTATGTACTTTCTAACAACTGTACGCCAACACAACTCCGGAAACATCCCAGTAATCAATAAAAATATACAAACATTGTTATAATTTTAATGTAAGTTAAAAAATATATGCATGATTTTTTTTAAATTTACATATTAAGCCTTATTCTGTTTGTGTACAGAGACAGTACGACATCAAATGAAAGCTGATACTTTTTGCTTTTAGCTTTATTTAATAAAAGTGCGAATACATTACTTATAGTAAGTACGGTTTTAATTCTACAAAGTATCTCTTCATATTCTTGAGATAAATGAAAACCAACTTAATTAATTTAAATGAATATATTAAATAGAATCATAAAAGTGAATAGAACAATGCTGCAAATCTCTCGACGCAGGTCTTCGTGGACTTTTTACATATTTTAAACATTACGTAGCATTGTCCTTGCATATAGTTTCCACTTAAAAGCAATTTAAGCAAACATTGAAAAAGAAAACATGTTATTGGGGTGTCTTACGTATTCTTCTCAATCTATAGTTCGTAGTATCTGTTTGTAATGTCAAAATAATAAAACCCCTTTGAATATTTTTGTCTGTCTGTATGTCTGTTTGTTTCAGGTAATTTGCTGTTTGCTTCCAAACGGCTGGACCGATTTTGATATTTTACTACCAGGAACTGTCTTTATAACCTATAAAATTTTGCCCAGTCCGGGAATCGAACCTGAGGCCTTATGGACTTCAGTTACGTACCGTACTACACTACCAAGTCAGCTTGTATTTTCAAATACGGACCCTGCCGTAACAGTTAAACTTAAAAGTGGTATGTTAATAAAATGATGTTTTTCAGATTACTACTACCCACTTATATTGTTTTTATTCTCCTATGTTAGTGCTGAATAATATAATATAATAAGTACACTTAATTTTGAACTAATATCATAATTTGCAAGTTCAATCGATTTGAAAAACAAATGAGACGAGAATTTAAAGCTATTCGTAATCAAGGTATCTCCTTGACTTGATACGTTAAGTAATGTTTGAGCATTCGAGTAAACCAGTCTTTTTTGCATACATACTATAAGTGATACATCGATTTTAACATATTTTTAAACTAGTTTTGCGCTTACATCATGATATATTGTTATAAACTGTATTCTTAATTCTTTTAATTTTCCATCCTTATTGATGGTATGTTAGGTGGAATTTTTACGTATTTTTTTGTAAAAGACGGAGTCACTACGTTATAAATAAAAAAAAATACAAATGATTCGAAAATCTGTCCTTTTTTAATGATTTCAGAAAAGGACGCTGTTCTCTACTTTCTTGTACTTTTAATCAATTAAAAAAAACGGAAAATATTATAAATAACCTTTACTTGAATGACTGACGAATGGCGTAGTGGTTTAAGCGGTCGCCACGCCGCTTCCTACTTCGCCGAGTGTTGTAGGTTCAAACCCCACATGGGACGACACTGTGTGATCTACCAATTGTTGTCCGGGAGTTGTCTCTTTAAAGAGACTTATTTATTCATATCTTTTTTCTAAATATTAACACATAAGGAAAGGTGAGTTACTTTATTCAAACTCAAACTTTCTTTATTTCATAAAATTTTCAAAATTGTTTGAAATCGTCTTCCATGTAGACTCTAAAGTCATAGATCAACACACACAAAAGCAACAATCTCTGTTTTGTCAAATAGTAACCAAATAAATTTAACAAAATCAAACCCATACAAAATCCATGCCTGTGCCGATCTACAACCGCCCGTTTCCAAGGGGTTGAGCCTTATGAGAAGAAAGGGCAAACAAACTCATGGCCACTCTTTTGCAATTCACAAGTAGATACAATGGCACTATTAAATATATCACAACATTGTTTTGATGTGTGCTAGTATGTCCGTTATTAAGGACTTAAAGGTGAAAAAACAACGAAGAGAAAACAAGATTAAGAAGAACAAACGAATACAAGAGAAAATGAAGTGAAACATAAAAAATAGAAAAAATAATAAAAAACATACTAGCCACACCACATTTTTACTTAAGAAAGAAATAGCCTGCGCTAATTAATCCCAAGCATTCTTGTCCTCCATGTAATCCACAATCGAGTAGTAGGCCCTCTGGCACAAGCCACGTTTTATTGCGGATTTAAATTTGTTAATACTCAACTCCTGAATATTATTTGGGATTTTATTATAAAATCGGACACACTGACCTCGAAAAGACTTGTTTATCTTTTGGAGCCTAGAGGCGGGTACAACAAATTTATTTTTATTTCTGGTATTTATGGCATGTACATCACTTTTTTTCAAAAAGCTATCTTTATTTTTGTGAACATATTTTACATTTTCATAAAAAATATTGACTTGCCATGTATTATATTTATTTTTAAATTTCTGCCAATAAAAAATTGAAATTATAAATGCCCAAACTTTTTTTACAAAAAATATTTTTAAATTGGGGTTAAAAAAATTAAATTAAAAAAAAAAAAAAAATTTTTTTATAAAAATAATTGGTTTTTTATGGAAAGGGAATATTATAAATTAAATAAAAATTATTAATTATGTTATAAACCCAAAATGGGTTTTTAAAAAAAAATTTATTATAATATTTTCATTTTATTTTGGATAATATTTTTTAAATTTTTTTTTATTAAAATAAATTTAATAAACCAAGAAATTTGAAAAAGGGTGTTTAAAATGTTTTAAAAAAAAAATGGTTTTGAAAAAAAAATGTTTATTAAAAAAAATTAATTTCCCTTACAATAAATTTTTAAAAATAAAAAAAAAAAAAAGGGGAAAAAAATGGAAATTTTTACAAGGTGGAAAAAATTAATATAATTTTTAATTATTTTTTAAAAAAAATTTGGTTATTTTTTAAAAAAATTTTAAAAATTTTAAAAACTTATAAAAAAATAAAACCAATAAATAAAAATATAAAATATTAAAAAGAAAAAATTGTTTTTTATAAAAAAAAATTGTGGAAGCATTTAAAAAAAATTTTATTGTGAATAAAATTTTTTTTTAAAAAACTGGGGAATTGATAAAAAATAATTTTTATAAATAAATACTTAGTAGAAAAGGTTAAATATTTAAGTATAAAATTTAATAAGGGGTAATTTTTAATTATAGAAAAATTTAAAAAAAAATTAAAAAAATTAAAAAAAATTAAAAAAAAATATAATTTCTATAATTTAAAAAAATTTTCCCCTATTTTTTTTTTTTTTTTTTTTTTTTTTTTTTTTTTTTTTTTTTTTTTTTTTTTTTTTTTTTTTTTTTTTTTTTTTTTTTTTTTTATTTTTTTTTTTTTTTTTTTTTTTTTTTTTTTTTTTTTTTTTTTTTTTTTTTTTTATAAAAAATTGGGTTTTTTTTAAAATTTTTTTTTTTTTTTTTTTTTTTTTTCCCCCTTTTTTTTTTTTTTTTTTTTTTTTTTTTTTTTTTTTTTTAAAACTTTAATAGTGTTAAAGGCTTTAATAATTTCAAAGGGGGACACATATTGGAACTTAAATTCACTATCAATACTTCTAACATTCTCTTTTAAAATTGATTCTGCAAGGTATGGTGAGGAGTTCAAAGATTTAGTAGTTGATACAGGAATGTTAGTAAAAAAATTCTCAAATGCAGCAGCAACCTCAGCATTTGATGTGATAAATTTATTGTTTATGTTTAAATTAAATTCATTATCACGGTTTGGATCTTTGCCAGTTTCACTATTAATAATTTTCCAAGTGGTTTTAATCTTATCATTACTACTTTTAATCTTTGAACTAATAAAACGAGACTTAGCCAGTTTACAAAGTTTCCTAAACAGCTTCGAATATTCTTTAACATAATTATGAAACTGTTCACTTTTATTATAATTCCTCTCATCGTATAGCTCGTATAATCTTTTCCTACTTTTGAGTAAGCCAGGGGTAGCCCATTCACTAAATGTGGCGTTACCTTTAACCACTAGCGTTTTTGGTGTAAAAATGGTGTTAAATGTTGAAGAGAAAGTTTCAAAAAAACTATTATAATAAGTATTAGGGTTATTCTCTACACAGAGTACTGAATTATTAAAAGCAGCTTTAAGTTTATCCTTAAAGTTTTCACAACGCTTTGCGGTTTTAGGTATCACCACAATTCTTTTTTCTGACACTTTTTCATACCTATCACAGAAAGATACTAATTGACCACAGTGGTCAGAATGTAATTGATTGATTATTTTCTTGTCCTTAATAACAATATCTGTAAATATATTGTCCAAACATGTGGCAGTGGTGGCAGTGATTCGTGTAGGCTCCAAGAACAAGTTCTTCAGATTGTATGATTGAAAAAGTGCCTTGAACTTGGTTACTATACTTGAATTTTCCAATAGGTTAATATTGAAGTCACCACAGATGATGACCTTCTTTTTTGATCTTGTTACTTTAACTAATACTTCATCCATAACACGTTCAAAACAATCATACATAGCTGAAGGAGGTCTGTATACACATACTACTATGAAACCTTTTAGTTCTAAACAGGCTATTTCTGTAGTTCGCTCAACTGATAAACTAACAATGTCATAGCGCTCTTTAAATTTAAGTTTCTTATTAATGAGTATCATAGTGCCACCATGTATTGCTGTACTTCTGCTGAACGAGCTGCCTACCTGGTGGTGGTCAAAATTGAACATAAACTGATCCCCTTTTAGCCAGTGTTCAGTAATACAAAAAATATCAATTGCATTGCAGTTCATGAACAGTTCCACCTCCAAGTCTTTGCCCATCATTCCTCTAATGTTTTGATGCACCAAATTTATATTATTTATCATATTATTTTTAATAAATTTACTGTGATTGAACTTTCTATTAGTGATCAAATTAATATTGCAAGAGGTAGTCTCTATTGTCTTATCAGTAAATTTAAATTATTTGAAATGTCAATCTCATTATTATGTAAATTATTAGGTATGTCATTTAAATTTTTATTAATGTCTAAAGAAATATCTGCCAACGGATTGGCAAAGTCGCTATGGGTAATGTCAATTTGCTCAATAGAAGCAATAGTTTTAGCCAAGTTCTTGGCTGTAATGGAAAAATAATATGATAGCGAAATTGCTATCTGTCTCTTATAATAATTAGAAAGGTAATATCTACCTTTCGTCAATGAAATATTATTACTAACAAGCTTGTTAGTGTCGATTAGATGTAATTTATTACAATAGGGTCCATTTATTTGGCAAGTTAGGTTGTGCATCATTATATTTAAATTATATCTAACATTTCTTTCCTTCTGCGACAACCCTTTGCTAAGAGGAAGTGTAAACAATACAATTTTATTTACATCTAACTTTAACAATGATTCAAAGTAGCCTAAGAATTTCTTTTTGTTTACATTTCCCCTGTTACCAACAAAAATGACTAATGAAGTATTTACATTGTGGTCTGATTTGGAATTTAAAACTTTTTCCATAATATCATTAAAAGATGAGTGAGGCATGCAATAATTGCTGAATGAATGTCCCAACTGTGTATTTAACATTAAGGGACCCATGCCCTTTCCAATTTCATCACTAAACATTGCTATGTTATCATTTTTGTACAATTTGTTTGTTTGTAAATGGGAGTCCTTGAATTCAGGTACAAAAGTTTTGATAGGTTGTGGTGGCAGCGAGGAAGGAGCATGTGCTGTCCTGGGGCTGTCTATAGAATACACTGAATCATTACATTTACAGGAGTTAACCAGCCTGCCAATAGCCAGCACCTGCTCCCTGCTCTGCTTTTGGGAAATTTCATATTTATAGGTAATATTACTAAGTTGTTCTTTAAGACGGTCAATCTCACTTTGTAATTCTCTTGTATCTTTAATGTATTGACTCGACATGTTGTCTAGTTCTAATGAGTACATAGACACCTGATCAATCAGATGAAGTCTCTGCCTATTTAGTGACATACTATTAATAAAAAATTTTTGTTTGTGAATCATTTTTTTTGAGTATTGAGTTTTATTTTGTAGAAGTTGTTGCATTCAAGGCTCAGAAAATAGAAATATCATCACTGATAAACAGATGCACTAAGAGTAACTGTTTGGTGAGAATTTTGGAGCGCTCGCATTATTGATAAGCGTTACCTGACCATGCTCAATAAATAACACAAAGAAGTATCGTCGATACAACCTGCATACCTTTTTTTTTCCGTGCGGAAATCCCCTCGGATACCACCGGTGGCATGTCGGACTCGAACCGACTAAAACCGCACGCCGTCTCGGGTACTAATAGCTGGGGAACCAGGTATACCCTAGAAAGGACGTCCCTGGTGCCCCGACGGCCATCTACAGACGAGTAGCCGACCACACCCCCCCCCCTCCCGTGTGGGAACCCCATGTTCCCTCTGCTCCCTGGAAGCGAGCGCGCTTCGCAACGCGCTCGCCGACAACCTGCATACCTGACTATAATAAATAATGCTTCGATTCAATATTAATCACAAATATCTGAAACACTCACAAATCTGAAATAGCTTCGCATATTTTTACATATTGCTATTGCCAAGGTCAAACATGCCCGCTTTTTAATAAAGATCCGAAGATGCAAAAAACAAGAAGCAAATTGTTGTTTCCTTACTTAGCTAAAGTTAACCGAATGGAACGAATTGATTTATGACGTACGATGTTGGACTGCACTTTGGTTTTGTTGAATAGAAATGCTCATCCGCGATTCGCTCGCTACACATTTGAGATTCAAATTAATCTTTAAGTACTGACACCGTTTCTATACGCGTAGAAATTGGCAAAACTGTGTCACGTGTTTGTTAACTTGGCATTCAGTAGATTGTGGTTTCTAAGTTTCAGAAGTAGTGTATACTTCAGTTAGCACGAAATACATAATAGAAAGGTCTAGATTGAACGAAAAGAAATGTATTCTTATTGTATATTATGTATATGTATAATGTGGGAGGTTTAAGTTTGTATCGACTGGCGTAGGCGTGGCGATGGCGTGGTTGTTTAGGAGGTCACCTCGCTCGCTGTTGTTTGAGTGTTGTGGGTTCGATCCCCACATGGGACAACACTTTATGTGATCCACAAATTGTTGTTCTAAGTCTGGGTGTTGTTTCATGTATGTGTGGGAAGTTCACCGCGACACTGGATATATGCCTAGTGCGGGAGTTCTTTTAAAAAAAGACAAGAAATCACAATATCGTTGTCTTTTGTAGAATCCATTCGTATTTATTTCTGTTTGTATCAAGAAACCGGTATATTTTTCAATTTAATACACTTTTTTAGCAAAGACAGTTTTTTTACTAAGTAATGTGGGGACCAGGATTTTCTGACCAGGAGAGGTGATCATGCCTAGAGGGCGAGCGTTAAGACTAAATTTTTCATTGTGTGTAGAAGCCACCATATTCTACATAATTATATAATAACCCTATGAAACAGCACTACTTTTTAACAAATATAAAAATAAAAGGTGAAGTCGCAACATAAATTCATATATTGAAACCCGGACATTCTTAGTAGACATACTTACGAATCAGTACTTATACATAAAACTCCACTCTACTTACTGCCGTTAACTCCTCCCCGAGTAATTACGCAAATCGGAACGCATTAAATGTCACGAATTAATAAACCCTTTCAACCTTGACAGTGGTACGTAACGGGCCCACCATGCGTCGTCAGGCATCGCTGACTGTAACATAAGGTCATTGTTGTTACACAAAAAAGTTATTGTGTACCTTTACCCAAAAACATTGTTGGATGTTTAGTCCAAAATACGCAATGACAATTGCGCAAAGGATTATTTAATTTAGCAGTTGTTATGTTTTGAGTTTGCCGTTTATAGAACATGATTACGTGCATATTATTTAATCAGTTGATTTTCCTTACGTTGCGACAGAGACATTTAACATAATTTTAACTTATTTGGTAATAATTTGTAGTAAATTGGAAACGACGTACTCGTTTCGTCAGACATTCATAGAACGTCTGCGTTGACCACTACGATCTTATAATATCGCGTTTTAGTGAAGAAAATTACATCATCATAATAATCAACAGTCTTTAATAGTCCACGGCTGGACATAAGCCTCTCTTAGATAGGAAGTTTTAGCATACTATACCACGCTGGCCAGACGGGTTAGTAGAGGGTTTGTTTCAAGTTCACTATGCAGTGCTGTTGTCCTGCGTAGTTTGCTTCCGAAGTCGGCTCTTAATGAAAGAGAGCGAGTGACGCTGTATTCTTAATACGTCACCACGGAATGGAGACAACGCGGGAACAGCCACAATAACTGTACTTTTATTCGAATTATCATTGTTATCATAATGCCTGTTATCAGTATATGTATTTACTAGTATTTTATTAGTAAAACGTAACACAAATAAACGTCATAGTCAGTATTTTTTTTTTTTACCATCTACATTTTCGACATGCCCGCATTAATATAAAAATGATTACCAGTTATTGTCACTTGTTGCTTCCGCTGACTCACACATTTATTCCATGCCATTTTTAGATAATGAAGGATGCGGTAATGTGACATTTGTAGTTACGTCATATAGGAATGATAATAAATTATCCTACTATAAAAATTTTCATGTAAAATGTTGGCAAGACGAGACTATATGGCTCGCACTGTCAAAAAGTTATCAGATCTCATGTAGAGCCAAATTTCTCCACAAGCTCTTCACAATCTCTACACCTTTTTTTTTTTCTGTACGAAAATACCCTCGGATAGCACCCACCGGTGGCTCTATCCGACTCGAACCGACGAAAAACCGCACGCCGTCTCGGGTAAAAGTCGGGGAACCAGGTGCACCCTAGAAAGAAAATCCCTGGTATCCTGACGTACTTCGGGCCATCTACGGCCGATAGATGACCCCCTCCTGTGTAGGACATCATGTTGAAGAATCTCTACACCTTAGTCAAAATATGTGGCTTAGCCGTTTATGCGGGTTATGTAGTAAGTTAAGTAGTGCCTTTACGTTTCGCTTGGCTCGTCTTGGGGGTGTCACTACTGTGCAACCAGATTAATCTTTAAAATATATATAATATAAAATATTTTGTAATGTAAACATGTGAAACTGATGTTTTTACCGACTGATTTAATTTGAAATATGATATCATAAAAATATTTGTATAACATTAGATATTGGTTCAAAAAAAGCACAAAACGTAAACGTCATTTACGATAAAAAAAAACTTAATATAAAACACGATTCTTTTTTAACAAATAAACGGGTGTAAGTTCCAAACTTTAGTTTGTAACAGAAAACTTTCTGGCAACAAACTAGCAACATTTCACCAAACTTGGAATCGAGTCCAACTAGACAGTGAGTAACTCGATATTTCGAAATTTAACGTCTTAGAACTTGTTCAGACTACAATAAATCTGTTCCAGATATCAACATTTTCGAAACAATACCTATTGAAGTATTGATACATCAACTTGTCTAACTTCATAATCTTACGTAAGCCGAAAACCACCGCCAATTGCATTGTCCGTATCACAATCATATTAAAAATTATAAGTTTTTGTCTTTCTACGACGATCCTAGACTTGGGTTAACCAAATGATTGAAATATGGAATCTTATGTAATCGATTCCCATGTACTTAGTAACCGACGCAACCAACTAGAACTAAAACGGCATAACAAATTTAGTTACCTGTAAAGTTGCGAAAACTTTGTACTGTTGGAAAAAATGTAGTTTTTAATCGATTCGTAATGGACTTATATTGAATCGTTATATGCTGGGTTTAGTTAAAGCAATAGCTCTTCACTATGGATTACTTTTTATTTAAAAAATAGTATTTCGTTTTTTTTTTTTTTGAGTTTATTAAGGAGGTTATGGACGTATACTAACTTCCTAATTTTATAACATTACAAATGCGAAAGTGAGTTAGCTTTCACGCCTTAACTACTTAACAGATTATCATTAATTTTACGTAAACGTTATCAGAGGTACAAATATTCTCGAGCTCTCCTTACCTAGAATATAGCAGAATCATTACAAATATGATACTTCATATATTATGGTATATATGTATGTGTATAAATATAATATTTTTATGTATGAATGTATGTATTTTTTCACGTGTACATTGTTATATTTATACTATTTCACTGCTTTTTCTCATTTCTTCTCTTCTCCTTCTGTGCGAGACAATATTTCTTAATGGTTTTTTATATTCACCAAAGTATAGTGCACCTTCTCATTCATTTCCACACCACCCTACGGTAGACTGGTAGAGAATCCCTATGGCATTAAGTCTGTCATTGTACATTTTGTGTATAAAGTTAATAAATAATATATAAAAGCACTAAAAGGTATTTTAATTTAATAATTTAAAAATCTATCAACTAGTAGATAAAACAGAGTTTTAACTTATATATATACATAGGGTAACTTAACTAAGTCACTCACAAGGATGTGCGTAAAAATACAAGCCTCTTAAAAGAGAATCTTAAGCGTACAAGCTTCAGGAGAAAAATTAATAAAATAAAGTACAGTTAATATATATAATAATTACCGTCTATTACACAAGCTCATTTAATTTGCTTTATGACATGGAACTTAGAAACTAGTTGAATGTAATCGAGGTCTTTTGAAATATTGGGCACGCGGTTATCGCGGTTAGACCCGTTATGGAGGATTGACACGAGAGGCATCACGGAACCCTCTTATACCGGTTGACGCAGGTGATCACCGGGAGAGGATGCTTCGGAGATCACCTGTGTATGATCCGCAAGGAGCCAACGCCTGAGTGCCATCACTGCGATGGCCGGACCGTGGACACGACGCTCTACACGCTGGTAGAATGCCCAGCGTAGGTGGAGCAGAAGCGTTCTCGAGTTCGAGAGTTCGTGGAACTCCGCCGTCTCCTTCTGTGAACAAGTTAAGCTTGCACAGAAGATGGCGGAGAGGGACTGGGACAGGTTTTAAAACACTCCCGGTGCG